CTGAAATGCTCATTTTGATGTCGCAACCAGTGGTGCTCGTTGCCCATAAAAATCTTCGCTGAACATCTATCATCCAAATATTTGCTCATATCATCGTAGCAAGAGGATTCGTCCTCAGTGGACCACACCGGAACTGTAGTCTCATTCCAGGAACGCTACATCTAAGTGGCAATGCGAATAATCCGATTATCGTAAGAGGTATTGGAGGTGGCTCATGGGCCGGTATTGTGGTGAAACCAAGTGAGTTTGCTCCGATTCTTGTAATGTTCCATCTCCTCCGTCAGTCTTCGGTGGATCTTTCACGATGTTTGATATCTGAAGGTTTTTAATAACTTCTTCGTATGCTCCAATCATGCTGTTTTCGGAATTGTCTAGTTGTAAGCTAATAATAGTACAATGAGCTATAAATCCGATCCAGTTGACATTCTCCTTGATGAGGTGCTCGGAATACCGTGATCGATAAATTTTAGGAGGTACTTTGGTAGCGAGTAATTGCATATTGGAAGATGCGTATGTGGCGCTTATTGTTGACTCAGCATTTGTGCACATCAGTGGGCTGCAAATTGTACGTCCTCTACAGCTTGGTGTTGAAATTACTCGAGAATCTGCTGAAGACATGAATTTTGGTCAAAGTAGCATAATATCATCTATGGGTGGTGGCATAAGAATCACCAAGCGTGATAGCNGAAGACATGGATTTTGGTCAAAGTAGTATAATATCATCTATGGGTGGTGGCATAAGAATCACCAAGCGTGATAGCGCAATAAAAATCAGGTGAGATTTATTTCATTTCCTGGAATAATTCAATAAATTAGACTGAAGTACAGAAACAAATGTTTTTTCCTGTGGGACATTTGCAGCATGTGGTACGTCAATTTTTTCTCAGTGTTTTTAACATTTCAAAAGTCAAACCATATTTTTCAGTAATTTTCTCAGCTTTCATAGTACCGAGAACAAATAATAATGCTGTTGAAAATTACACTGAGTAGTGTTCCTTACAGCACAGAAAACCTTCGGACCATTTAATCTTGCTTTTTGCAGGAATGTTCTCATAAAATCCAACGCTGAGACGGCTATTGAATTTGAAGATCCAACGGGCAATATAACCATTCAGAACGTTTCGGTGAGAGTCTCCTTTCGGCAAGCACCTCTTTAAGCGACACTCTTTCTTCTTGACTATGGGAATTTGATTATTCGATAGCCAA